GTGGCCGTATTATGTTCCGCATTGACTACGGCGACGAGTCCAAGCTGGAGATCAACACCACCAAAAAGTACAATGTGGGACAGTGGATCAAAATCGAGGCCGCACGCGAGTTCTCGGCCAAGCGGAGCACAGAGAACGGCATGCTGCGAGTGAACAACGATCGTCCCATTTCCGGGGCACCCACGCTGCCCGTGAATGCACAGCTGCTGCCAGATTTGTCCAAGGCTGTTTATTATTTGGGTGGAGTGCCGCCGGGATTCACATCGGGCACCACGAAAGCACCGGGCGCTGATAATCCCTTCCTGGGCTGCATGACGGATGTTCAGGTGAACGGCGAGACGTACGATCCCCTGGAGAGCTCCAGCTTCTTTGGCGTAGAGCCCTCCTGCAAGGACATGATCACAAAGTGAGTAAAAAACTTGGAACTCATGGAAATTGTCTGTGCTAATATGATCCCTTCATTTCAGGGCTGGTTTCTCGGGCAATGGTTATTTGGAGCTGCCATCCCAGTCGCTCAGGAAGCGCTCAAACACTGCGCTGGTCTTCCGCACCCTGCAACCCGACTGTCTCTTGCTGCTGGCCGCCTATCCACCCGAGGTGCTGGTCGACTACGATGACAAGGACATCAAGGGCAACTATTCCATGAGCCTGGTGGATGGCCAGCTGCATGTGTGGCTCAACTCTGGCCGCAGCTTTGTCAAGATGTCCTCCAATATCAGTCAGCTGAACGATGGCGAACTGCACGTAATCAATCTGATAAAAACGGGTCGAAAGCTGGAGCTGATGGTGGACGATGAGCTGCAGGATGTGCGCAGCCTGAGCGGCAGCCCAACGGTCATAAGTCTGCCCCGTGAGGCGGGCGGCCTCTACATCGGCGGAGCTCCGCCGCATGAAAGCTTCACGCCGCTGGCGCCCACCTTCGTCAATCTGGAAGGCGCCATTCGGGATGTTGTGTTCAACAATCGCACTGTGAACTTCAATGATGCTCTGACCTTTTCGAATGTTCAGATCGGCCGCAATGGTCCGCTGATGGGCAGTCTCAAGAGTGGACTCTACGATGTGTTTCTGAAGACAGAACCGATGATCGGAAAGAGTTTCACAGCCTCGCCGGAGGGCTGCAAGCGGGTGAGTTGCTAAGGCGCTGCTTATTCCTTATCTTTTGTGGCTTATGGGTATGGGAATCGGGGAGGAGATTGGATCCTGCATGCACATTTTGTGGCTGCCTAACTCTATCTTAAACTTAAAACGTTTCTCTTTGTTCTTATAGGATTTTAGTTGCTAAGCAATTATGTCAAAAGCTGCTACGCTAAAAGCTTCAAGCGCTGCGCTTCGCGAAAGCTCATTTGTATACTAATTTCGCCTAAAAACAAAACAAAAAGCTAACCAAACAAAAGCTACTTCTATGTGGTCTACATGTGGATTAAAATAACCAAAATTATCATCAAAGTTGCATTACATATAACCCCAGTCTTGGCGTGAAAGTTGTTCCACTTCATGTTCTGGTGGTGTTGGACAACTTGGCTAGCTTTAAGTACGGAAAAAGATTGGTTAAAGCATAACAATTTGCCAAAAAAGAGCAGCCATAATCATAGTTAATAATCAATCATCTTTTATACATATCTACATATTATATTTTGTAAATATTTCATATGACTTTTTTGCTAAACATTAAGCTCAGTCTAGTCGCTAAGATTCACATCACTCATATCTACGCTTTGTGTACGTTTTTTGCTTTCAATTTCATCATAAGTGTATCATTCAATTAACAGTTGCTTAACCACAACACACGGACATTTGATTGTTATCACATTTTGTTTAAATCACGTTTCAAATAAAACATATTTTTTATATCAAAAAACCAAAACAAAATCGAGCAAAATTCATGGCAAAGTCTTTAATTCTTAACCCAAACCCCACCGAGTGTTCTCTCTGGGAGTTCGCTACGCTTAGAGCTCAGAAACTAACACAAAGTCGTCGGGGTGAGTTGAGTTCCTCGATAGATTAAGCGTGTACTGGGACTAATCGGGAATCTTTCTTGCAGATCGGCAGCTACTCCTATGAGCCGAACGCCTTCAAGTTCGGCGACGAAATCTACAGCTACTCGCAGCTGAAGCTGCCCGAGCGTCACTTCTGGCAGCGCAACTTCCGCCTGAGCTTCGACTTTCGCTCCTTCTATCCCAATGGCATGCTCTACCTTTCACCCGGCAGCAAGGAGAAGCCAAAGCACTATGTGGTGCTCCTCCTCAAGGACGGACAGCTGCTCCTGATTGTGCGCGGTCGTCGACGCGAGGAGCTCCAGCTCACCGCGAAGCTGAACGATGGCGAGTGGCATCGAGTGACTGTCAGCTGTCATGAGCGCAAGGTCACCATGTCGGTGGAGATTGGCCGAACGGACCAGAAGACATCCGCCCAGATGAAGCTGCCGAAGAAGATTGGCGCCTCGCAGCTGCTGCTGGTCGGCGGCCTGCCCCAGGCCCCAGTCAAGGTCGCATCGGAGCTCTACATGCGACTGGAGCCCTTCAAGGGCTGCCTGCGACGCGTGACCATCAACAATAGCACCCAGGATCTGGCACGTCCCGGCAAGCACTCGAATGTGGGACAGTGCTTTCCCACCGTCGAAAGAGGCAGCTACTTCCCCGGCGACGCCTACGCCATTTACAGTGAGTCTCTCGATGTGCGTCAAGCTAAAGATGTTGTAATGTTGAATATTTTACAGAGAAAAACTTTCATGTGGGAAAATATCTGGATCTGGAAACGGAATTTCGCACCTCGGAATTATCGGGAATATTGCTGAGTGTGTCCGAGCCGAGTGGTTTCCCAGCCCTCTCCTTGGAGCTGCACAACGGCAATGTACGAGAAAATCAAATGTCGAACTGTGATCTGTGATTTAATTCTCTTTTCCTCATTTGGCAGATCGTTTTCTCCTGCGATCTGGGAGATGGAATGCCGCTGCGCCTGGAGTCGTCGTTGCCTGGAAAGTATGCCCTGTGCGACAACAAGTGGCATAATATTTCGGCTCTCTACGATGGCGAGCAGATTGTCCTGCGAATCGATCAACTGCCAGCCGTCATCAGTGCTGGAAATCAACGGAACGTTGGCAAGGTGCAAACCCGTTCTCCCCTCTACATAGGCGGGCTGCCAGGTATGCCTCAACTTTAAACAAAATTCAAGCAAAAAGACTGACTGATATCTCTCATCCTTTCAGATGTAGCGCCCAGCGGCTCGTTGCTGTCTAGGGAGAACTTCAAGGGCTGCATCCGCAATGTGTCCATTCGCAACGAGAAGCGTGACTGGATCGATATGGACGATCTGCGCAATGTCCTGCTCAGCGAGTGCCTCGTGTCCAGCGATGATAGCTGAAAGAACTGTCCGGCCGCCGTCCGGGGAGTTTCTGGTTCCTGGTTGACGACACACCAAAACTTTTTCCAAATGTATTGTGATCAATAACGAGTTTTATAGCCTATCACTGCCATATAAGTTAGCCTTAGCCTAGGAATAGCTTTTTTTGTATATCTCAACTCAACTTATCTTGGAACTTTCATTGCCAGTGACTGCATTTTCAAATCTGATTTTATTTTATTTATTTCACTTATTTATCCCAGTTGAACTTTCCGTTTCCATTCTCATTTTAATTTATTTATTTTATGTTTTAAAAGAGGCTTTAAGTTTGTATTTCTTTTCATTCGATTCCAGCGAATCTCCTATTTGTACAGTCCACAACGAGATACTTACCACCCACTAAGTAGAACTAGTTAATACTACTTTCATTTGTACATAGAAGTGGCCATTTAGCTATTAGGCATCATAACAATTACACGTAGTATCTACCACGCGGCATCTACATACAAAAATTAAATTAAATAAAAATCATTTATTAAATCGATAAATAATGAGTTGTAATTTAATATAATTTAGAAATAAATTTTGGCAGTTTATGCATTTTAACACAATTTCCATTGATGTCAGCAGCACTGTTGACAGAGAGAGCAGCGAACTCTCTCGCTCTCATGCCCTAAGCGCACTCCCTCGTGCCTTTGCTCTCGGGCTGCGCTGCTGCGATCCAACGCACCGGCTCCGTAGCTCTTGTGCATAAAGCAACTATATAAGGAGGCCTTGTCGGTGGCAGAGTTACTCGCTGCGTTACCCAATTCTCAGTGCACGTTTGCTTGTCGATGCGGAAGGTTAGTTGCGGACAAAATTTTGTTTTCAATATTTTTTTAAATGTTTATATTTTCAGAACACAGGCTACTATTATGTAGCAAACTATTAAAAATTAAACTATGAAACAATTATTATGTTTTTTCATATTGCCTTCAAATGATTAATCAGCACACTCCATTGTCGTTGCCCTCACACTTACAGCGAGAGCCCTTTCACTCGCACCAGCCCATAATTTTTTCCGAAGAGACCTCCTTATATAGTTGCTTTATGCTCTGTGGTGGTGGTTTTACACGATGAATCGGATTAACGGCATCCTGTGTACGTGTAATGCTAACAGTCTCACTTTACGCATACAGCCTAATTTTTGCACAGCTTTGCACGGCTTGGAGCAGCTACATATGTCTCTTTCATTCTTCCCTCAACTATGATGCATCTTGTGCACAAAGCCTGCGCAGACATGAAACACGTCTTAAAACACCGTTAGACTTACACTCAATCCACCACCCCACTGCCGCGACAGTGTACTTCGTGAGTGATGTACCGTTATACCGTGTAGAATGCATACCCATCACAATCAATCATCAATTATTTTTGTTAGGCGGATTCGCACGTTGAGATCACTTCGACAGCAGCCTCCAGAGAACATTAAAAAATCTTTGAGCAACGCTGTGAGGATGAAATTTGGTTCATCTCTGCCAATGAGTGTTTCAAAATCAAAGTTCCACAAACAGTTCATGGCTTATGTAAAATTTAGTTGGCTTTGAAACCTTGAATAGCTCTGCTGAGAGATTTGTGTCGCATTAATTATATTTTATCAATACAAATATATCTGTAGTATACACATACCTAACCGCATTCACTCCACACAATGAACACGGATCGGAGCAATAGGCGAGGAAACAGACAATCCACGTTGAGTGATGGCTCCTATCACATTTACTGCATCAACTTCTATGACAATGGGCTGAATGCGCTTCGGGATGAGTTTATAAGCCGCATCAAGTGCGGTCTGCGTCGTCCCCTTTTCGTTATAGATGTGGAGAGCGAGATGCAGCTGGCCATACAGCAGAACGATCTGCGAATGTCAAAGGCGTATGCCAAGCGGTCGGGTAAGTGGAAAAGTAGATGGACCTTCAGCAGTCCCGACACTCACCACACCACAAATTTCTAGTGGGACCAAACGAGCTCAAGTCCACGGATCCCCTCACCATTACCCTGCAACGAATACGGGAGTGCGTGGCCGAGTACGTCAGCATAAGCAGAAACATCGAGCAGGAACTAAACTTTGATCTCTATGAGTATTGGCAAAAGAATTATCCGGCCGAGCTGAATAATATTTCGAACGAGCCCAAGAAGGCACGCAAGACGAAGAATGGATTAGATGCTGCTTCCGTGAAGACAGGCAAATCCAAGACCGACAAGAGATCTAGCGAAAAGTCGAAAATGGAAAAAATTGATTGCATGTCCGTTACGGTCAAGGATCACCATAAAGTGGGCAAGGGACAGCCACTGTCCAAGCGAATGGTAAGCGGAGCGCCTTCTAGACCTTCTAAGTTGTACCTCTACACCCCTGCTCTTCTTTGTAGTACATCAAGGATAACCCTCTGACGTCAAAGATCATGATCCTGATTATTGGCAACTTGAACAATGATTTCTGCAAGACTCTGTTGGCCCACCATCAGCCACTTCGAGCAATCATTCACTTTCTGCCCGAGGAGTGCGCATACGATCTGCTGGTGCCGCGTCCGCGACGGGAGAGATATCTGCAGGAAACCATTACCAACATCCATAGGGACATTCACTCGCTGCGCAAGAGGACGGCCACCAAGCCCGTGGGCATATTCCAGCAGCAGCTGCCCCAGATGTCCGCCTGCCTGGCCACAAAGTTCACGGACGACATCTTCAATCAGCTGAGCTGGTTCGTGTACGATTTGGAGACGCTGAGGGAGCAGTACATATCGTACTACCTGGAGCCCTACCAGGAGATCAATGTGAAGATGAGCCCGGAGGCCAGCATGCAGGACAGCTTCCACATGGCCGAGTCGCTCAGCATTCAAGGACACTACCTGAAGGCTCAGATGCCAGCAGCCAGGTCGGACATTGGCACCATCTACCTGTACGTGGAGTCCCTGATGAGCACATTCGGCAACCCCCGTGAGCTGATGACCGAAGTGGAAGTCCTTCTGCTGGCAAATCCCACCTCTGCAGCGCAAACACGAATGCTAGACAAAATCAAGGTCTATGCGAATGCCTTCAAGAGCATTGTGAAGTTGTCCAAGAACGAGCGACTGTTTGTGGAGCAGGGCAACTCACTGCTGACCAGCATGCTCTCCTACATGGACCAGTCGTTGATGAGCAATGTCTACCACGGCTGCCTGGAGTACAACCTCATGCGACGCTACTTTACGTCTGGGTACATCACCGCATCGCTTCCCTACTGCCCCTACAACGGGGAGATGGAGCCCATCCTGCTGCCCAAGTATGCCCAGCTCTATCTCACGGACGACGCGGTGACGCAGCGCATCATAGAGCTGGTCAATGACTACGATGACTTCACCGTGGACGAAGTCTACCCTAGTGTAAAGCTGTACACCTTCAGGCGGGCTCTCAACGAGATCTTCGAGCAGCAGAAGCAGACTGTGCTGCCCACACGCCTGTGCTTCAGAGATTTTACCCTCTTTGAGATGGAGCAATTCCTAAAGGACCTGGTAACTCCCCAGATGTTCAATGAGGCCATGGAGCATAACGAGAACTTGACTCTGGCGCAAAGCATTGCCACCATGCCCGGCCTTGAGCAGGAGCCAATGATCATTAAGTGCAAAGAGGGCCAACACCTGACCATCGATCCAAATGTCTTTGTGCGGCCACAGTCACTAAAGGCACAGAAAATAGCAAAGGGCAAAGAGGAGCGCCGCGCTGCAAGTGTGGTAAGTGCGAGAACCACAAACAGAAGTCAGTGGATGGCCTCCAAGACAAGCCTTCTGCGCCATGGCTCCGCACAAACCCACTCGAAGCTCAATGTTACTGGAAGTGAGCTAACAAATGAGCCCTTCATTGGTCTGCGACCCAATCATCCCATGCTCAAGGGCTACAATCTGGACGACACACAGCAAAAGATCAAGTCCAAGACCTCCAAGTACTTCTTCGAGGAGGGTCGCATCACGCTGTACGAGGAAAAGTGGAACTTCCGGCAGATGAACAAGTGCCTCTCCCTGCAGCTCGACGGCCAGCATGTGCACTTCAGGGACGCTGCCAGCTGTGTGGGTGCCACGGATGCCAACATCCGCATTGAGTCGAAGAACGGCATCAGCCTCAGAGTGCTGCTTTCGGAGACGGAGTGTGCCAAGGCTGTGGTCAACTACCCGAACGGAGTGAGCACCTACTGCCACGACACGCATGCCGAGCATCTGTGGTCCATTCAGGAGAACGAGCTGGACGAGAGTCGGCGGGTGTGTACCCCCTACGGCTGTGTCATTGTCTTCTACCACAACAGCTCCACTGTGCTGATTATGCGATACAACGGAGAGGTCTATCGTTTGTTTAGCCATACCGAAACGGAGGTCGAGGAGGAGGAAGGTGGATCGGAGTTCATTAACGCCTGCTCCACCCAGTCCACCTTTAGCGGCTACCATCCGCTGTCCAGCGCACCCAAAAAAAAGAAGAAAACTCGCGAAGTAAGATCCTCGCAGATTACTCGCTCCTTGGGTGGCGCCGACACCCAGACTCGTTCCTCAATTCAGAGCAGCACCTCGAGGGCAGCGCGCAAGGAGCGACAGGCCAAGACCAACCAGTCGGCAGTCCTGTTCGCCAGCATTGACTTTGAGCTGAAGTACCTCAAGTTCATCATGAGCTTGTACAGCCTCAGCTACAGGCATCTCAAGCTCACCACCTCGATGGGCAGTTTGGTGCACGTGCAGACGGACGGGAAGATCTGGTGCGGGAAGCCCTACAGGAACACGGAATGGCATGACTACTACGCCAATGAGTCGTATGCCATGCGGAGTGACGGTGTCAATATTGTATGGACCAAAGACGAAACGAGATGCTACCACAGTGACGGCACGATCATCAGGACTGGCACCATCGAGGGCTGGGATCCGGGCGTAATGGTGGACGAGATAGATGCCGAGATAACATCCAGTAGCTCCCATCGCACATTTCAAAAGTCCTCCAAAATGGTAGGTAACCATTAGTACTGTGTAACCCATTAATAGTCCATTTTTTACAGCCCACCACCCTGTACATCAATGCGCCGGAAGGTGTACCCTTCGAACCAACTGCTCTGCCGTCGCAGAGCTCTTTGCCCAGCGAACGCTCGAAGAGCATGGAAACAGAGGTGGAGCCAAGTAAAAGTAGTATGAGTCAATACCTTGTAGAGGAGGAGGGAGAGGAAGTCATCATGTATGACATGAGCTTCATTACCTACACTCCGGACAGCTACTTCATTCAGCACCAACTCTATGCCGGCATTCACTTTACCTTCACACACCTCACGGACGTTGAGCTGAGGCTTCAGACAGAGGTCTTTATGTCTGACAATCTTAAGTTGCGGTTGTATAAGGAGCAACAGACCGAAGAACCTGAAGCCAAAAAGGTATCCACCATTGTGGATGATGCAGAGATACATTTTGAGGCAAGACAGTCCTCCGAGGCAGATTCAGATGAGTGGATGAAGGGAAGAAGTACGGCTCTCATCAGTGTTGAGGAGTCTTTGCCTTCACCGCCGCCTTTCGAGAGCTCTCGCGTGGATATTGAAGGCATCAACCTGAGGATAACTGTAAACGAGAAGCAGGCCATTGTCACGACTCGATTGCGTAAGTTTGGATGCGACGAGAATGCACTGATCGTGCGGTAAGTGGAATCAGTAGCAGGCTCGAGAAATGTAAACTTAAAAAATCGTTTCTACAGTGAGGACATCACGCTACAGGTGAACTTTGACAAAAATCTATCAAGCACATTTCGCAATTGGGTCGAAATCCTTAGTAGATTCATCAACTGTTTCTGTCCCAAGTGGCGGACCGTGTACTTTCTGGAGTCTACTTCGCCGGAGTGTAAAAGGAAGGGTAAGGAATCTACCTAATTGTCCATCAGAATCAACTTCTGAGCAGCTCCTTTTGCAGGCTTTGAACTGGTCAGAACGATTCCTCCCCTGGGCAAGTACAACTTCTGTGCGGGCAACTACTTTATCGATGTAAATGAACTAATGTCGGTGAACAAACGTATGGAAAACGAGTTGGATTCTTATGACTGCGATATGATTAAATTTCCACGCTTTCCACTCTATAAGAGAGTGCCGCAAACCATAGAGTTTCCCATGGTTCTGAATGCCAAGTACGTATCGAGCAGATTATGGAATTGTTTTTAATGCGAATGCGTTTTTCAGGATCTTTGTGGAAATACCTGGACAGCTGGCCAATACGGATCGGATTCATCACTTTATCAATCCCTTTGATCGGATCAAGTTCAGGAAACTGCGGCATCGTTTCAACGAGTGAGCGCTGAAGGGAAACCATTACCTTGTACATTTCCAATTGATAACTTTATCTTTACTTTAAGGTCGGTTCTGTTCCATCTGCATCCACGTTTGCGTGAATTGGTGCAGCAGGAGATCAGCAAACGGAGCTGGCGCAACCATCATCAGGAGCAGCAGCGACGCAACTTCTCGGAGCAGCAGCGACTGACCCTCTACATGGCCATGCTGAAGCATAAGGTGTATCCAAATTACTTCCAGTTCAAGGATCAGTTCTACTATCATGTTCGCAACATTGACTTCTTTGAGTTCATGGCCGTCAAGTGCAGTGAGAAGGCCAATCCCGATCACTACCAAGAGCCCATGGAGGAGACCGAGGAGCCCCCGCCACCGCCAGCAGTCCCCGCCAAAAAGATGAAGAAGAAATGCTTGTGTCCGAAGTATGTGAAGTCGTTAGCATAGCGAATACGAGTAGCAGTGCCATGCCTACACCGTTCTAAATAAATCGTTATATTACTAGAAGTTCATTTAAACTTATATATTTACATATTACATATATAAATGTATGTTTTTACATACATCATTCCATTGGACACTCATAATAGTTATTTCAATTAGTGTTGTTGATATTAGCCTCTAGTCTCTTCCTATTACTGCATATTTTTCTAAAAGCCTGTCTCTGTTTTTAAAGTAACAAAAATCCACCCACAACGGACTTCTTACATCGAATATTACTCAAGTGCTCATAAGTGTAACGCAAAAATGAGCACAAAAGCGCATTTCTACAGCGCTTTCGATGTATCGATACATCGGTAGCTTTGTCAATCGAACTTTTTCTGTCGAACAGCCGGCCCGGCCGTTCATTTCTCTAGTCCGCCACCAAATTTTAATTTTAATCGCATTGACTACCTAGAACGGCACCGGGCAGAGAGCGAAGCACACGCGTCTCCCATTTCGCTGTGTTTTTGTAAATAAACAAATTAAACAATACGAAAGTGCATCGAGGGAGGGCGAGGCATAAAAAAAATTAAAACAGAATCTACTTTGCCCCTCTGAGTGTGTTTACATTGCGCGAGTGTTGTCTAACTAATTCAATTTTCACATAATATGCAGTGCATTGCAGTTTATTAAAGCTTCTAAGGAACTAACCTGAGTCAGAAAGCAATGGCAACAACCGGCGAAACAGCAGAAGCAGCGCCCCCAGCGCTTAGCAATGGGAATGCTGGTGGACGTGGAGCCGCCGATTCTGCCAGCGCTGTTTTCGAGGAGAATCTTAAGCAGGAAGCGGAGGAGGAGAAGGCGCGTGCCGACGAGCCCAACGAGATCACGGCCGTGCCGCGCTACGGCCTCAAGCTGAAGTTCGGTCATGTGTGGCCGGAGCGTAGGATCCAGAATGTCCGCGCATCCATCCGGCAGACGCTGCCCATGGTGCCACTTGTGTGCAGGTGCGATATATGTATGTGTACACTGTTATCTGATTCCGATTGTGAGGCTGCTGCTGCGGCTGGTGGGTGGGTGGTTGATGAGGAGGAGAGACACGTCCATACATAATTATTGGAGGCATATTAATGCGAAATCAATAACTGGTCCCAAGAATACCACAACAGGAGTGACACCGAGCAGGGCAGTTCGCTCACCCGCGAGCCTGTGCGTGCCAAATATAGCGCCAGGACCTGGCCAACACACACACAAACACACAGTAGGCTCGCCTCGTAAATTGGATTCCATTGTGGTCTCGTTGCCAGCTTAATGACATTAAAAACGGCAGCCGGACAGGCTAAGGGGACAACAGCACGCAAGGGAAATGGAGCTTATGTATCTATAGATAATGAAAAGGGAATTCCATATTGATGGAATCGTGGGGGAACATTCTGGGAAAAAGCTACAAAGTGGACAATCTCTTAATTCAAATGGATTCATCTTGTTTATTCTGTTAAGACTCTTTTGCGTGTACTCCACATATATTTCATATTTGAATGTCAAATAATTGTTGTATGAATAGCTAATACTCCGACCATTACCAAACTGTTGTACTGTATGCCATACTCCACTCTGTGTGTGTGGGTAAAAAGTACTTTGGCGCCACAATGTTACCAATGTTAACCTCCAAAACTCCCCTCCTTCTGTCTGCCCGCATTGGCGCCAAGTTGGGCGTCCTGTTTGCGTGTACTGGCCACATTTTCGCAGCTACGAACAAACAATAAAGGAACCCGCACACCCAGAGCAGTTAACTTTTTGAGCTGCTTTTTCGTATGTATATTTATGGTAGAGAGTGTGAGAGGGGGTTGACAGAAGTTTCTTTAGCATATCCAACATATTTGGGTAATCACAGCACAGAACTGACCTAACAAACTATTCCACACAGAACAGAGTGCCATGAACTCTTCTTTCAATAAATATGGGTCATCGTTTAGGGTAGTACATGTGATTCATAGAGTTTTTGTAGTTATTTCAGTTTTAAAAGAACACACACAAAGGTAGCATTTACACAACCGATTTGCCCTGTGACTAAGCATTGTATTCATTCGTGTGAAACATTCGGGGAACTCGAGTTGATTGTGCTTCTGTCTGTGCTCATGCATAGGTATTTTATAATCTCCAAATATGCCAACAGATGGCTTATCGGTTAATATTGATAGGTGCCTGAGGGGCTGCTGATTGATGGACCTTGCAATACCCTTAAAAACAATATGGATATGGAAGTCAAACCAATAAATCGACTCAAGTTCAATGCCATATCACTTCCAGTGCACAACTATTCTTTGATTTGAAAATAAACATTATTTTATTTAAACATTTCGTCGCTAAATGTTCCGCAAAAGAGTCGTTACTCGTCTCTAATTTCTTAACCAAAGAGTTCCAGTCGACAAAAGTTTCTTCTTACTGTTTACAAAATCATCATTCAGCAACGACTCCGACTCGCCACGAACCCTTTACGTATCTTTGGACATTTCTGAGCATTTACTTTCGATTTCCATGACGTTGCGCAATGTTTTACCCACGCAGAGAGGCAGAAATATGAGTGGCATAACACACTTGTTCCCCACTGTAGGGAGTGAGTCGTAAAACATCTGGCTACCGCGAACTTCATACACGCTGATAAGAGGGCCAAGTCTGACATTATGGCCTTATCAAAAGGTGTGGACAGTAATCTGTGTAGATAGTAATTTGTGGGTCTTCTAATCTAATGATTGGATACCTTTTTAGATAACATTTAGCCGGCTGTAAACCCATGACCGCCTCAATGAGATCATTACTCTTCGTTGAAGTTAAAAAAACAACAACACTGACCTGTCTAATAATTGTATTGTAATTCAAGGGAACAACTTACATCTACAACTTACACTTACACTTATACTTCTATAATTTATTCTTTTTCCACGATTAAACATACTCGAACACACATATAACACAGAGAGCGATTAGAGAAGCCAAAGCAAGGTTGACTGAGCGGTTTAGCAGCCGCATAGAATTCTCGTATTAGTTTGATAAGGCTGTAATACATTCAGATTTATTAAAATTAAAATAATAAATAATATTTATAATAATATTCGTGCTCATTCCGCTTTAATTGCAGCCGATATAAACACTATCTGAGCTCTTAAATTAAACCAAGAAAAATAGCATCCATATTCTCCTAGGACCCACAATTCACAAGTAAAATATTGAAGAATATTTGTGGACTTTTCATTTGAATGCCCCGAGCTCTTGCACGAGTTCAATGTAACTTTATTGACCCAGTTCCTGCAATTTCCTTTTCCTGATTGCCAACTACTTTTCGCTCAATTCAAATCCTTGTCAGCAACTGCAGAATCTTTTTCCCGAAACCAAATTCTGTGAAAGCAGAGCAGAGTACCTGGCGCCAGCCCGGAAGAGCATAAACCCAACTGCTACCCACACTCCCGACCTCTCCAGACCGAACCCAACCAGCATGTCTGTCACACATCAAACGCTTTTGGCACAGCTCCCAACGAGTCCCCTCCTTGAGCTTCTCCTTAAGCTAACCGATAAGCAAGGAGCGGGTCTTGAGAGCATTCTCCGTTTTGTCAGTGTCTGTGGAAAGAAATGGGTCTGTGAATGGGAATGGGAACAGAAAGCTACGACGGAGATGGTTTCCCTTTGCCATGTGCATCTGCAAATGGAAAATAAAACATTTCCTTTGCCTTATGTTTATTCCCTCTCCTCACATGCCCATGCAGACTGAGCACTTTTCCTCATTGTTTTTCCATGTTCAGGCTTTGACTGAGCATTTCTGTGATGGAAGAGGAGAATCTTCTACATGTTGGGATGAAAGGGAGTTCCCTCGAGGAAAACATTTTAGTTTTGAGAGTATTAAAGACGAGTCGGAGTCGGAGTCGGTGTCCCTTCTGGCTTTAGCTCTCAACTTGTCGCATTTTGTTTATTTTTGACTTGTTATTTTTTTGTTGGTCGCATGGAGTCTGCGACTTTAGGCTGGATATTTGATAATTATAGACTTTTGCAGTGCGGCCGCCAGGGGAGGCATGAAAATACATTTACTGTGGCCAAGTCTGATGGGTTCTGTTTCGAGAGACAGCATAAAAATGCTCCTCCTGTCTGGGAAAATATGCAATGACCTCGCTCGGAATTTGTACACATCATGGAACCAACTTCTGTAATCTGCTGCATTAGCTATGGGCAAACTTAGCCTTATTCACCACCTTTGCTTCTTGACAATACTCGTACTTGGTCCAAGTTCCTTCAACAAATTAGAAACCAAGCCACAAAAACTTATCCAATTCCACAGACGACAAAAAAGTTGTGTATTAATTTGAGACGGCAAGCCATGCAACCCGTAATAGTGGTCCGACCAACTTCATTTGTTACTTGCCACCAGCAATTTGTGTCCCTCTCCCCGTCCTGCCCCATTTGCACCTTGACGTCACTTGACCCACGCTGACCCCAGCAAAAGTTCTCCTCTCCGGCAATTTCACAAATTGTGTGGAACAGAAAACAGAAAAGTTTCTTCCAACAGCACAAAAAATAGCCGAGTACAACGCAGCGAAATGTTGCTAGATTCGGGACAGGCTGGGGCTGCCCGGGTTGTAACTCAATTAAAAACTACTTTTCGTGTCAGGGCAGGAGCCTTGAGCTAGGACAGGACTGAAGCAAGACTGTCCTGCGCAAGTTTGGATGATTAGACACTACCAGAAAATGTGTAACTTTCAAAGGCGATAAGGAATGTTAAGCTTTTAGTTTACTGACGATTATTGGGCGTCTTTAATTTATGTTGAGTAAAGAATAATTAACGAAAAATTACAAGGGAAGATGGGGCGATGCTTAGAACGAAACGGAGTAATCGAGACACAAAGAGAGAATTTTTGCATTCCTCTTTTTTAATTATTTTAATGCTAATATTGCACTGCGTGAGAACCGGGGAAAAAGTGCCCACAGAGGCACTAAGCACTTTGTGAATATATTTTAAAATGGGAAACAAATTAATCAAAACATGTACTTGCCATAAAGTTAGCCTTTAAATTTATGTACATAAATATCTCAGTAGA